GAGGAAGGGAGAGGGAGAGAGAAACATCAATGATAAGAGAGAATCATTAATCGGCTGCCTCCTGCATGCCCCAGCCACCTCAGGATCAAACCAGCAACCTGGGCATGTGCCCTTGACCGGAATCGAATCCAGGACCTTTCATTCTGCAGGATGACACTCTATCCATTGAGCCAAACAGGCTAGGGCTGGATAAACCTTTCTTGATCTCTTTGGGAAGAAAAAAGAAACTAATAGAGTTGATTCCTGGAGGGTTTGCACATGCCTGCAGAGTCCAGAGCTCTCTGGGCAGCCAGCTCCCAGGGCACCTTGCTATTATAAGTGTTTGCCCACAGATGCATCCCAGCTACTGGAAGTCCAGAAGGAACAATCAATTGCATAGAGGAGCCTCAATAAGATTTTGCTTTATTTGAGTGTATATTCAAAGCTTTGGAAAAATAGCTTTTGCCTTCGGTTAATTGAATAAAGTCTACTGAACGGAGACAATGTATTAGACAACACTTCTAAGCCTTTCTCCCCCCTTCCCCTCCCCTTAGTGGGGGAGGAGAGCACGCTTCTTTGAGAAGTTGAAAAAGAAGTGATGGGTTCTTTTTCCCAGAAAAATGCTTGAACAGATAAGAATTTGCATTACATACGGAGTAGTTCAAGTTCATGGATCGCCTCATCTATTATTGGAGGCCCCTGCCTTAGAGAGGCTGGAAGACAAAGAATGGAACACTGACACCTCAGTCTGCATGGCCCTAGGACAGTGGTCGGCAAACTCATTCGTCAACAGAACCAAATAGCAACAGTACAACAATTGACATTTCTTTGGAGAGCCACAGGTTTTAAACTTCAACTTCTTCTAACGCCACTTCTTCAAAATTGCCCAGGCCGTGGTATTTTATGGAAGAGCCACACTCAAGGGCCAAAGAGCCGCATGTGGCTCGCGAGCTGCAGTTTGCCGACCACAGCCCTAGGACACTGGTCCTCATTGGATAGGTCATGTATACCAGTACCTCCACATGACCCTAACTTGATAGGGCCTATTTTAAACATTTTAAAAATAAATGTTTTTATTAAGTTTAGAGAGAGAGAAACATCAATGATGAGAGAGAATCATTGATGGGCTGCCTCCTGCACACCCCACACTGGGGATCGAGCCGGCAACCCAGGCATGTGCCCTGACCAGGAATTGAACCGGTGACCTCTTAGTGAGCCATGCCAGCCAGGGCTAAAATTGACTTTTTGATATACAGTTTTATAAATGTCATCACATGTACAGATTTTTATAGCCATGACCAAAATTAGGACACACAATACTTCGGTTACATGAGGTCCTGACATACCCCGCCCCAACCCCTAGCACCCATTGATCTGTCAGTCAGTATATACATTTTGTCTTTTTCAGAATGTCATAAACATGAAATATATACTATGTAACCTTTTGAAGCATGCTTCTTTCACGCAACATAATGCCTTTGACATTCATCCCGAGTGCTGTGTATATCGATAGTTTGTTCCTCGTTATTGCCGAGTAGTATATTACATTGTAAATGTTTAACGCTGTTTTTCTATTCATCTATGGAAGGATGATCTGAGCTGTTTCCGGTCTGGGGTGATTTTGAATACAGTTGCCATAAACCTTTGTGAAAGATCTTCCTTTGAAGGCAGAGTTTTCATTTATCTGGGGTAAGCACCCAGGGGTGGGATCATATGAGTTTTACAGGAAGTATATATTCAGTTTTATGGGAAATGACTAAATAGTGTCCAAAGTGGCTACGGCATTTTGCTGGTTCACTACCCTGGCAATGTATGGGGGCTCTCGTGGCCCCACACCCTCACTAGCACTTGGTATCACCAGCACTGGCGCTGCCAGCATTTCTCATTTTTACCTTTCTAGTAGGTGCCTTGTGGTATCTCATTGTAGCTTGACTTTCATCTTTGCACCCCAACCCTTAGCACCTTGGTAGGTTCTCAGTATCTGTGGAACTCAAACAAACACACCCCATTTTTTACTCCTGTTTTAAAACTCACTAATGTTTTCTTAATAAATTTTCATTGATTTCAGAGAGGAAGGGAGAGGGAGAGAGAGAGAAACATCAATGATGAGAGAGAAACATCAATGATGAGAGAAACATGGATGGCTGCCTCCTACACGCCCCACATGGGATCGAGCCCACAACCCAGGCATATGACTTGTCCAGGAATCGAACCATGACCTCCTGATTCATAGGTCAATGGTCAACTACTGAGCCACACCGGCCAGGCAAAACTCAATGTTTTGATTATATTTTCTACCAAGCTTTGTGTTTAAAACCAAAGAAATCACATATTAACCTCCCTCCTAATTCCTGTACTCACTCTTTCTCCCAAATTCTAAACAAATCACTCTTTCTACTAGATTGATAACCTATGATTTTCACTTGAACTTAAAGTGCACTTGAAGGATAGCAAACAAGATTGCTTTTGAAAGGCTCTGTTAATACTGTTACTAATACTAACAGAATCACCATCAGTAATTGATTAGATGAGCCAGGCACTGTTTTAGGAGATACTCCTATAGTAATTCACCACTCCAATCCCAAGAGGTCGGTATTATCCCCATTTTACAGACATGAGGACTGAGGTTTAATGAAGCTGACAAACTTGCCTAAGTCACACAGCCAATAGGGGAAGGCACCAAGACACACACCCAGGTCAGGTTGGTTCAGAAACCATAGCCCTAATCATCCACGTGACTGCTCTATGGAGCAAAGGAAACACTTAGTTGTTCTTTAATCAACAGCATAAACAATCTCGAGTCACTTTCATTTTTAGAGTTAAAAATATAAAATGGCAGGAAAGTGAATCCTTCTCCTCTTCACATCAGTCTACTGACAGCCCCTTAGGTCAGCAATGAGGCACGTGAATGAGGGGTGTGGTGTGGGAACCCCAGTCTAGGCAGCCTGTACTGTTCATTGGAGGACTAAAGATTTTATTTTTATTTGTTAAATATTATTTATTGGTTTCATAGGAGAAGGGAGAGGGGGATAGAAACATCAATGATGAGAGAGAATCATGGGTCGGCTGCCTCCTGCACACCCCACACTGGGGATGGAGCCTACAACCAGGGCATCTGCCCTTGACTGAAATTGAACTTGGGACCCTCCAGTCCTCAGGCCAGTGATCTATCCACTGAGCTACGCCGGCTGGGCTGGACGAAGGATTTGAGATGCTGCTCCTGTGAAGCCAGCAGCAAAAGTGGGATTCAGTGGAACAAATTGGACTGGGGAAATGATCCCCGTCCATGAAATCCGGAAGCAAGTTTACATAGTTCTAGACTGGAGAGCTCCCTCCAGGAGATATAAGCTGAAGTTGGAATAATGGCTCCTTTTATGTTGAGTCATAAAACAAAACAGTATTTCGGAGATAAAAAATAAGATTAATAATATGCTACCTGAATTATCTCTTGACTATTCATATCTAGGGATAACACGGAACTGCAGTCTTTAGAGGCGTATGGGGCACTCATTCTTTTTTTGGGGGGGCGGCACTAATTCTAATAAAACCGGACACACTGGACTTTTCGCTGGATACATGGAGTTAAAACCATGGCCAAGAAACTATCAAACTGAAATTCAGTGGTTTGCCTTTAGTATTTTGATCTAAAATACTTCATATCTCTTCTGTTACCGACTCTCTGCCAAGCCCCTGGAGTTGAATTTCTTTTTACGTTATTGACCAGGCGAGCAAGACACACAAGTCGCAGGCTCTTATGTCTCTAATGATCACTTCCCTCGGCCCAAACAGTCATTTCATTCTTCAAGCATGCAATCAGGGGGAAATCTGTGTGCTCAAAATAAATACAATTATGTCCCAAGCAGCCATTGGGGGGATCATAGTTCCACAATGTCAGACTTTTGTGTGTTCCAGCGCCATACAATGACAGCATCCATTGCTGTATTTTCCTCACCAGGACTACAGAACAGAAAGAGGTTGATCTGTACTCATACCCACTCTCAAAACTGTCTTAAAACCAACAGTTCCACCAAGTGATTACAGTCACGGGAAATTATGACAACTCTACAAAATATGGGGCTCCAAGTCCCAAGCAGTAAAAGTCAAGGTCATGAATTTTATCTGTCTGGAGAGCTTTCTGTAACTTGTGGCAGTTGTGTTATACATGGGCCTCTATAGTGTTCTTATTTCAGTGCTTACACACTCAATAACCGTAGAACCCACTGCAAGAACAGCATTTACGTGAATTCTTCGGCGGCTTATAATACACAGCGTCAGTGATTAATGAGAAAGCATTCAATAGCAAATGACTGGAACCTTTCCAATCAGCCTTCCCGAATATACGCATTTCTGACAAAGTTCTCATATGAAACCTAGACAACCCCGAGGAAAAAAAATCCGATATTTATATAAACCATAAGCTGCTCAGCAATGATCTGAGTTTTCTATACAAGCGTGGTTTTTCTCAAAGGAGAAAAACTTCTTTATCAAGACCATAGAACATCCTGCAACCCCATTTGCATAACCAACATCCCATTTTCTGTTTGAAATTCAAACTTTTCATCCTTACACATCCATTGGTCACTGAGAGGGTACCATTTTTTAAAAAAGAAAATAAACACAGCACAAATCAATTTCCCTTGCAAAAAGTGTAGTCCTAAGTTTACCGGGAATCACAGCTCATTGTAACACCTGACATAGGACAAGCAGCTCAAAGCAGTTTCTCTTTCCCCAAAAGTGCTTCTGGACATTGAGTCTCGAGGGAATGAACCACCAGACAGATCAGCATAGGATGCTGTCCTTTTCCTTTCCAGGATATGCCTGCCTCCCCCTCGATACTCTTTCTCAACATTCTAATCGCCTGAACCAACCTCAGCAGATCTTGTCACTTTTCTACCAAAGCCATCATCCTGGTTTAATTCAGAGACATGGCTTTCCACCCCGGTCCAGAGAAATTCATCAAGACAAGAGCTCCTCTCAGAGCTCCCCGCCAGGTGAACTTGACCGCTATTACTATTACTCACGGGCACACGTGTCCTCCTTCCTCTGCTGCCGCCTTGCCAAAGCCCCAGGGGGTGGAGAAGGGCTGCCAAGTTTCTCCTTCGGGATCCTCGTCCATGGTGGGGAGCCCAGCAGCCTGCGGAGGGAGGGAAGGGCCGATTTCTTTATTCTTCTATGAGAATGATCACGTCCTGACAAATCCCTGCTGGACCTTACTGAGCGGGAGGAGAGGAGTAACCGGCCGGGAGGGAGGCCAATTATATTTCCTCTCGCAGCCACTCGGAAACCAGATCCGCTTAGACAGTCACGTGCTTTGAGAGATTTGAAGATGCAAAAGAGGAGTAGCTGTGACTTTTGTAAATTATTAACAGGGACTTTTTTCCTGACTGTGAGCAAAGATGCGCAGATTAATCATTTAAAAAAAAAAAAAAAAAAAAAAAAAAAAGCAAAAGAGCAATAATGGTCCTAACGGGTTTGGCTGAGTGGATTGGATGGAGTGTCGGCCTGCGGACCGAAGAGTCCCGGGTTTGATACCCATTAAAGGCATGTGCCTTGGGTGTGGGCTCCATCCCTGGTGGGGTGTGGGGAGGGGCATGTAGGAGGCAGCTGATGGATGTTTCTCTCTCATTGAGGTTTCTACCTCTCTATTTCTCTCCCTTCCTCTCTGCAAACTCAACTAAAATATATATATATTTTTAAAAGAAGCAATCAGGTTTGGCATGAAACACATACATTGATGAGGCAAGAAACAAGATTTCTGACAGTGTGCCGCTGACCCCCGTGAGTCAGGACACGCGTGCAATTAGCATGGAGGTGACATTGCAGCGGGAGCCCAGTGGTACCTTCCCAAGGCCTCTGCCCCGGATGAAAAGGAGGATCCTCCCCTTCCCGTCTACGAACTCACTGTGCTCTGTTGTGGTCGGCAAACCGCGGCTCGCAAGCCACATGCGGCTCTTTGGCCCCTTGAGTGTGGCTCTTCCACAAATACCATGGCCTGGGCGAGTCTGTGTTGAAGAAGTGGCGTTAGAAGAGGTTTAAGTTTAAAAATGTGGCTCTCCAAAGAAATGTCCATCGTTGTCCTGTTGATATTGGCTCTGTGGACTGATGAGTTTGCCGACCACTGGGCTGGAGTGGAGTCACCTGAGGCAGCTCTCCTGGATTTCAGTGCTGCTTAACTTCTCCCCCACTCTCTCCTCCAACCCCCAGCCCCGCATTCTTGTCTTTCCTCCAGGTTTGAAACTTAACGTGTCTACCTTAAAACTACTGCATTTGATTTTTTTTAAATTGTTTTAATCATTACAAATAGTAGTACACATGTCTTATTTTTCCTCTACCCCCCAGTACATGCCCTCACCTGCCCCCCCCAGTGTCTTTCATCCATTGGTTATGTTTATATGCATGCATACAAGTCCTTCCTTTGATCTCTTACAGCCCCCCCCCGCCCCAACCTCCAAAAAAATAACCCCAAAAATAAAAATAAAAAACTACTGTATTTGAAAGCTGCCAACTTCAATGCTACCGCGTCCCCAGCAGTTTCAACTCCGGGTGGAAACTCTGGTCCAGAAAGCACTGGTATCCGAGGACACAGGCAGGGCACCTTGTGGGGTGGTATAGACAGGGACTTTTTCTCTGGGTCACGGCTCCTCACCCTCGGCATCATGGGCATTGGCGGCTGGAAACTCTGTGTGGGGGTCTACTCACTGACCACCTGCAGCACCTCCCTAGCACTTTCCCCAGACTTTCCTGGGGCCCAGAGACCAGAAGGGCCGGCAACTCTAGGGTTCCACGAGCTCCTAAGGGGACTTACAGACAGCAGAGCGTCCTGGGGGCCGCAAGACTGCAGACCGTGGAGCCCACAGGCCCTGGGGTGTAGGTAGCCACGTGGCCTGAGCTAACACAGGTGGCTGAGAGCACTGGGCTCCTGCTTGTTAAGAGCTGCATCCCAGGCAGCAAACAGCTTAATGGGCCCGTTAGCCACGCAAGCACACCCCCTTCAGGTGCTATGGGCCACCCATCCTGGGGTCAGCAGGTAGTCAGCTTGCTTCTTTTCAAAAATATATATATATTATTGATTTTTTACAGAGAGGAAGGGAGAGAAATAGGGAGAGAGATAGTCAGAAACATCGATGAGAGAGATACATCCATCAGCTGTCTCCTGCACTCTCTACTGGGGACGTGCCCGCAACCAAGGTACATGCCCTTGACTAGAATCAAACCTGGGACCCTTGAGTCCGCAGGCCGACGCTCTACCCACTGAGCCAAACCGGTCAAGACCAGCTTGCTTCTTAAAACTGGTCATGTGAAGTACCATGTAAGTACTAATCCACCTAAAAAGACATTGCCAAATATCCCCCCGCCCCCCAGGGGGGCGGGCAGAATCCCTCCTGGTTGAAACCGCTGCTCTGGGCTTGTTTATTTATTGAAACTTTTCAAAAGAGGAGGAAGGGATGTTTACATTTGAGGGAGGATCATACCAAAGACAGTTGGTAAACAGTGAAGGCTGTGGGGCAGTGGTGGGCAAACTCATTAGTCAACAGAGCCAAATAGCAACAGTACAACGATTGAAATTTCTTTGGAGAGCCAAATTTTTTAAACTTAAACTTCTTCTAATGCCACTTCTTCAACATAGACTCGCCCAGGCCGTGGTATTTTGTGGAAGAGCCACACTCAAGGGGCCAAAGGACCATATGTGGCTCGTGAGCCGCAGTTTTCCGACCACGGTTGTGGGGTACCCAGAGGATTCATTTGAGTTGTCATTTTCACTTGTAAAAACGGAGTCACCTTTTTCTTTTTAATCCTCACCTGAGGCTAGTTTTCCATAGATTTTTAGGGAGAGACAGAGAGAAACATCGATGTGAGAGAAACACATCGATTGGTTGTCTCCTGCACGTCCCTGACCAGGGCTCGGGCCCAGGAGGAGCCTGCAACCGAGGTACGTGCTCTTGACTGGAACCGAACCCGGGACATTCTATCCACTGAGCCAAATGGGCTAGGGCTGGAATCTCATTTCAAGTGGGAAATACCAGCTGTTCATTGACATTTGCCAAATTGCTCACCAGCTGTGATGGTTGATTTTGTGTCCTCTTGCCTGGGCTACAGGGTGCCCAGATGTTTGGTTAAACATTATTTAGGGTGTCTCTGGGGGGCGCTCCGGGATGAGGTTAACTTTGGGATCAGTGGGCTGAATAAGGCAGAGCGTACCCCCGTGTGTGTGGCCTCATCCAGTCCATGGGAGGTCAGCAAGGGACAAAAGCGGGAGGGAGGGAGGACTTGCTCTCTCTGCCTGCCCGTTTGTGAGCTGGGATATGGGTCTTCTCTTGCACTCTGACTTGAACTTGTACCATGGGCTCTCCTGGGCCTCCAGCTTGCAGGTGGCAGGTCTCCACAGCCATGTGAGCCCTGGCCCCGAGCGCAGTTGGATGGATTATTGGCTGGATTTGCCAAGGTTGTGGGTTCCATCCCTGGTCAGGACACATATAAGACTCAACCAATAAATTCATAAATAAGTGGAACAACAAATCTCTCTCTCTCTCTCTCTCTCTCTCTCTCTCTCTCTCTCTCTCTCTCCACCCCCCCCCATTCTCTAAAAAGAATAAATAAAAATGTGGGGGGGGGGGGAAAGCCAATTCCTGCCCTAACCAGTTTGGCTCAGTGGATAGTGTCAGCCTGTGGTCTGAAGAGTCCCGGGTTTGATTCCGGTCAAGGGCACATGCCCCAGTTGTGGGCTCGATCCCCAGTGGGGGGCGTGCAGGAGGCAGTGATCAATGATTCTCTCTCATCATAGATGTTTTTATCTCTCTCACCCTCTCCCTTCCTCTCTGAAATCAATAAAAAATATATATTTTTTAAAGCCAATTCCTTACATTAAATCTCTATCCATCTAATCAGTTGACTCTGTTTTATTTATTTTTAATATGTTTTTATTGATTTCAGAAAGGAAGGGAGATGGAGCAATTGAAACATCAGTGATAAGAGAGAATTATTGATTGCCTGCCTCCTGCATATCCCCCTACTGGGGCGGGTCAAGCCTGAAACCTAAGCATGTACCACTGGCTGGAATCGAACCTGGGACCCTTTAGTCTGCAGGCTGACTCTCTATCGACTGAGCCAAACTGGTCAGGGCAGCTGGCTCTGTTTTGCTGGAGAATCCTAACTCCTGCACTGCTATAGGTTTCAAGTCTCTAAAACCTGGGGTTTGGAATATGCTAATTTCTGCTTAGTTACACATTCTTTATTTTACCTCGCTTTCTGTCATCCCATTGCAAATAGTGCTCATTCTGGCAAACTATCCAGAGCTGGTCTTTGACAGCAAAACAAATCAAGGCAGAAATAATGGGATGTTTATGTGCCTTAAGTTATTGCAAAAAAAGAAAAAGGCTTTCAATTAAAGGCAATAAGGGCAATCTATTTAAATTCAACACCGAAGAATTAGGCAGAGGGATTCATTAGCAGTTGGGCAAGTTCACAGGTGATGGTGGACATCTCATTAACAATGGCATGTCTGCCCTGGTTGGTGTGACTCAGATGGTTGGGTGTTGTCTCATGCACTGAAAGGTCACTGGTTCGATTCCTGGCCAGGGCACATGCCCAGGTTGTGGGCTCACTTTCCAGATCCCTGGTGACAGGGATTTGAACAGTGACCTCCTGGTTCATAGGTCAATGCTCAACCACTGAGCCATGCCAGCTGGGTCCATTTCCAATTTCTGAGGACACACCTAGGAGTGGGCTTGCTGGGTCACATAGTGACTCCATGTTTAACTTCCTGTGAAGTTGCCAGACTGTTCTCCAAGATGGTACCATCATTTTCCATCCCCATCTGATGCATCAGGGTCCAGTTCACCACATCCTAGCCAATACTTAGTTTACATTTTCCTTCACATTTGTACTTTTGTTAGCTCTTCAGTAATTTGAAGCTTTTAAAACATATTTTATCCAGAGAATTGGTCTGAATGTCCGACCCTGCCTCTCTCAGAAACAGAAGACCTTTTGCTTACGAGTTACCGTGACAACAACTGGTACAATGAGCCTCCAAGAAACACCATTGGTTCCATGACATCAAGGGAAACTTTTACTTTTGCTAGAATGCTAAGAACAAAAGCAACTTTAATTTTATATTGA